ACATATCCACCGCACACAAACTACACTACAGAACTGCATTTTGCCAGCGCAACGACCCATTGTGCTGCCTCGGATTCGCACTGCAACATGAGTTATGGACATGGACGTTGTGGCCCCATTCATTTCGAGCACTTCGAGGGCACATATACACTACGTTAAAGAACTACCACTGGCCAGCTGAACGCGCCTTTGTACTGCCACAGATTCACTCTACAGCCTGAGGTATTGACATGGATGTTGTGGCCCCTTAGAGCCATCCATTTTGAGCACTTCCAGGGAAGACATACCCTTCACACATATACTACATTAAAGAACTACCTCTGGCCTGTTGAATGAGCCATTGCTGTGCCTCAGATTCACTCTACAGCCTGAGTTATGGACATGGACGTTCATTCCTATCGTATGCACTTTCATTCTACGGTATTCCTTATCACCATCCGATTATATATTACTAGTACCCCGGAATACGGTCAGCTGTAGTGTCGTACCAACAATTCAGATGTAATACAATTCCCTTTTTAAGTACCTTGATGCGCATCCACCTCACTCGAGACTCTACCTCAACACATGAGTTGACAGGTGGCGTCTGTTCTGTGGTTTTCAGCAAAATTTATGTGGCAGGAATGTGAACTCCATCGGCTTACCCGAGACATCTCGAGGGTTCAAGCTCCTCAACATTGAGACGCACTATGTGCTCACGAGCCGTTATGTCACCTTTGTTGAACATCATTTCCCCTCCTGAAATCAGTCGAGGAAGTCAAACGACTGCGGATTGAGCTTCCACACCGTAATTGTTTTACTGTGGACAAGCCACATCCCCAAACACAACCCCCGTTACCATCGCATCTTGGGGTGGCTGCTACAGCAACCACAACTATACCCTCACTTGGGGAGGCTTTATACTCTGATACTCTGGCCCCACGAGTCCAGTACGGCAAATACCTGTAGTACTCGACCTACCAGGCTGAGAAGCCATTCGCGATTCGGGAGGCTCAGCACCTTCGGGAGGCTCACCGAGTCCACGTCGACATTGAATCGATCGACACGATAATAAGTCGACGAATATTCCGACTCCAAAACATCATCGATCATTGACATTCAACTCAACGACGGAAGTATTTCCCGTCCCTCGTACCTCGTTTCACGAGAAGTACAAACTCCCCTACTCTGGAGTACGTGAATATGACATTTACCTTCAAGCCAACATTGTCACCTTCGGCAATCCAGTCGCTCGAGACTCTACCTTGACCCTAGTGGTCTCGAACATCACAACGACCACACCAACGCGTGCGTCATCGACGCATCGTAGACTTCTACATTGGACACGGCGACGTCAACCCGACGACCCTGCACGACTACTTCTGCCATATGTCGAGGACGCCTCGGGCGCTCGATCCCTTTCGACATCAGAGCATGTTCTCTGGGCCTTCAAGGTCAAAGCACCTACTGAGATGCAACATATGCGCAAGCTATGAAGTCACCAGCCAAAGCGCATTGGCATGAAGCCATGCTGCTCGAATTGGCTACACATGAGGCGAACATGTCGTTCGAGAGCGCAACATTGCCTCCAGGGAGGTCAGCCCTGGGCATGCGCTGGGTCTTTAAGACCAAATACGATGAGTCAGCCACTGAGGCTACGCGACAGGCCGCCCGCTACAAAGCGCGACTTGCCATCCAAGGACACACTCAAGTCCAAGGAGTCGACTTCGAGGAAAATTACTCCCCAGTCATCGCAAAGGAAATTCTGTGAATGATGCTTACTCTCGGCGCGGTCCTCAACTATGAGATTGACGCGATGGACGTCATCACTGCCTTTCTCAATGGAGAAATCGACTGTGAGGTATACGTCAAACATCCTCGCGACGTACTACGAGTACTTCGAAGCGTCTACGGCCTAAAACAGGTTCCACGCTTGAGGTTCCACACACTGGCTACCTACTTGCGCGAGCAAGGGTACACCCAACTCGTCAAAGACAGGCGTGTCTTCACGAAAGTCATGGACGGACGATCCGTTTATATCGGCGTCTATGTCGACGACCTCGTCGCCATGGCTCCCACGAAGGACATGACGGCAATCATCAAATATGGCCTGTCGGTACGTTTCAAAATGCACGACCCTGGCCCACTCAAGTTCATTCGTGAGAGTTCGTTGCGAATGGTCTCGAACAATGTGGAACCCAAGTCCCAATATGCGACCTCTATTCTCAAGAGGTTCAGCGTGGAGAACTCCAAACCTTCACCCACTCCCATGGAGGTGAACCTCAAACTCTCTGAGTCGATGTGTCAAAACGAAACTGAGCGCGCCTACATGGTGGACAAGCCGTACCGATCTGTCGGCGGGAGCGTCATGTATCTCATGATCAGCACCCGACCAGACGTGGCTTACGTCGTCCAACAGCCAGTCAGTTCTTAACAAACCCTGGCCCAGCCTATTGGCAAGAAGCCAAGCGAGCGCTTCGATATATTCGAGGCACGATCGACTACGGTCTCGCCTTGGGTGGTGAACACAACGTCACCGCTCCGCTGCACGCATTTGCTGATAGGAACTACGCTAATTGCGTTGACACTCGTCGCTGCGTCGCCAGCTTTGTGACATTCTACTGCTACTGGATCGATAAGAGACTACGCAGCATATTTCGCTCTACCACCTAGGCAGACTTATGATTATGTGCACAGTAGCACAAGAATGCTTGTAGATCAAGTAGACAGCAGGTGAGATGGGTCATCGCATCACTCGTCTATTACCCATGAGGACAATCAAAGCATCATCCAGGTAGTGAACAACTCTGGTCATCGTGGGCGCTCGAAACATATCGATGTGCTACCATTTCATCAACGACCTCGTCGAACAACAAGTGTTTCGAATCGAGTACATAGATACACGACTCCAAGTCGCGGATGTCTTTACCAAACCATTTGACATTACAACGTTCTGCACACTGCGCAATAAACTACGAGTGGAGCAGCTGCAGCCCTCCGACCACTTTGGCCCAAGCCAAGGAGCATAAACTCAGCCGGTGACCAGTCCCGTCATGTTCGGAAGACGCCCCAACCGTGACAGGTCAGACAACGGGGCGCATCCCGATGGTTACTCGATCCATCCGGTCTCTTCATTGGCATGTCGTGCGGAAGGACCAATTGGCAGGGACCCGCTAAGAGGGGTGTCCGACGAGTTTCGTCCCGGACATAAGACTCACTGAGTCTAACCGCTGACCTCTTGCTGCACTATGGGCACCTGATTCCGGTGACACTGCGTGGAGTTGTTGGGAGGCAGTCAGAACACCTTGTTATGTCATGAACATCACCACTGCCCTGAAGCATCAGGTAGCAGCATTGGCTGCAGCAAGTAGGAGGTTTTTGTGCCTTTTAGAGGCTTTTCCTCACACATAGTACTCTAGATAGCCAGTCATATCCACAGTACATCATTATGATGCCATGCCCTGATTGGTTAGTCATTAGCTAGTCCGGCGAGCCTCTAGTGCCAGTTGTTCTCACTGGTTACTGAGCTAATTCACTTTCCGTTTCACCCGCAACCACCCAGTGTCCCCGCTGGCTTCTGCACCTTCCCACTTACCAAAGTACACGATTGATTGATACACATGTAACGTTACTCCGGGGTATTAATTTCATGGGTATACTGACTGTATCGTCTCATGGAGATCATGCCGCGATACCTTATTATTCCTTCGTATGTCTTCACTTCGGGATTCTTGAAACCTGTTGTTGTTCAGGTATTTGACCCATTTTAGCCCGTATTATACGTAAGGGCCGAGTTCCGTGCCACATTTACAGGACCTCGTTGAAGGACTTCCCTAAGACCCTGTTCGGGCAAAATTACTGAACAATCACTGAACGTTTTAACACTGAACGATGAGAATTATCCGGTGACTTTATCCGGCCAACATTTTGTCATGTCCGGGGAAACGTCGGAACGGATCGAAGGATGCGAGCGCTGGGTCGCTCATGAGCAATGAGCGCGGGTTGGAGCCTCAACTTCGTCGTAATCGTTAGTAATTAGGTTCATTTATGATGTGGTTGACTCTAAAGCATGGCCTAAGTGTTGCCGTGGTCGCTGAGACGTGTGGTGATGCAAGCTGCCATGAAAGTGGGTACGTGGTACGCGAGCGCTACAGCGCATAGCCCTGTGATATTCACTAGGTCGCACACATACGTACATATCTTACTATTCCACCAAAAAGCGCATTCGCGGAGGGTCTAGCTACCTCTACCTGCATGAGCCGACGGCCGATTCTTCGCCGCTCATGTGGACTAACTTTGTAAGCCAAACCATGAAATTTACATAATGATATTTTCGATTAATATCACTTGAAATATGTATGAAAATATAATTGCCAATCAATTGCATCCAGTGGTGGGAGGGGTGATCCCAACACAGGATTCCGAGTCCCGTGGTGAAAGTGCCACCACTGAACACTTCCGACAACGAACGCATCCGGATTTCGGATAAGTTAGCCAATCAGAATAAAGTTGTTCAGTGTTGAAACGTTCAGTGATTGTTCAGTGAAGTTGCCCTAACAGGGCCTAAGGCCGATTTGCAATTATAATACCGTTTTGTAAAGAGGAGATTAAATGTAGACCGTGTGACTTGGTGTTGTATCGATTTTAGCTCTAATTCAAAAGTTATTCGGGTGTGAATATTAAAACTCTCGATTGGCTGAAATCAAATCCGTGCCACTATATCTGAAATTTTTTCCTGTTTTGCACAGCATTTATTGGAATATCCGGACAACTACACAACAAAATTTTCAACACCATCCATCGGGTGCGCGTGGCCTCTTGCGACGAACGGGCTTGCTTGAATGTTCCAACGACATCAACTTGCGCTCTGACGTCTCACGACGTCGTTCATCCTACGCCTTCTTCGTTCTCCCTGCAATGACTCTCTTCTGTGCAGTGGCTTTCTTCTTCTGCACGAGGATTTCTTCCTTTTCCTTCTTCTTGGCTTCCTTGTCAACCACCTTGCTCGCAATGTCGTCAGCAGTCATGAGCAAGCCACCATGAATCCAGTCATCTTCACCTTTGGGCTCGCTGGCTCTGTTGGTAAACGCTTGAACCACAGCGTCGTTGATGCACAAAACACGGGCAGAGTCGATGTCAATCTCCAACTCGCGTAAGTGCACAACAACCCGGGTTTCGACACGCACCGTTGCTTGAATGACCGTTGTCGCCTTCAAACCAGGCTTGTCCCCCACAATCTTGGCCATCATGATGTCACGAGACAACGGGCAAATACCCACCTTCTCGAACCCACTGACAATGCAAGTCCTGGTGAGGCACTTGGCAACGGCATTGGATGCAACACCGACTATGTCACTTGTCGCTGCAAAGCGTGAATGAACAACGCGAAAGTGGGCCAACTCGACGTAAAGTAACCGTTTGAATTGGGCAAACACAGCGACGTCCAGAGGCTGGAGAAAGTGCGACGTATGGGATGGATGGGAGAGTAAAAGAGTTCCATGGTTTTTCTTAGAAAACACTGCAATTTGAGTATTTAAATGGAACTTTGTATGCTCGGACCACCTCACCTCTTACTACCGGTAAGGGTTAAGTGCATCTCAGTGGTTAGCGATAGCTAACCACTAGCTATGTAGTTAACCCCGGAGATTTAGCGTCGTACTGTATGTACTCACCGGGGGTAGGACGGAGTCCCAGGTTGGAGGGAAAGGTGCATCCGGGTGGGATAATGGCCGCTCCCATGAGCATCCCCACGCACGCATGAAGCCACACCGCATGGCGTCATGGAGCAGGACACCGCCGAGAGGGGGTGGAGACCCCTGGCCAACCCGGTGGGCCGTAAAATGTATGGGTCGGTGACAGACCTTGAAGCACGTTTTGTTTTTAGTTGAGGTTGCACTTGCGTGGTTGGTCGTTTCACTTGACAGGTTTGAGCAACATGGCCACAGCAGTGTCGATGCGAGACTTTGTCACACACAGATCAAAGTACGAGTCGACGATCTTGGCCAGGATGTTGCGGGAAATCGTGTATCCAATGATTCTAGCGGTGTACGTTTGCCCATTTTTTGTTGAGAACGACATGATAAATCAAATCAAATGAGTATTTCATTAGAATAAAGAAAAACGCTACTGATCAATGAAGTGAATAAAACATCTAAATGGTCCAAACACTTGTTGTTGCGTGGAGATCGTTGTTCACAACCGTCGCCTCCAACAAAATGGTTTGTTGGCTGAACGTCTTGAACACTTTCAGACTATCCAAGTGAACTTGAACAGGCAAGTTGATAGTTGCATGTGCTTTGGGGGACTTCCGGTCGGTGGCACGGAGCAACTCAGCGCCGATTCGTGCAGCAAAAGTCCGCGGTAGAATGTCAAAGGTGTCGGGTTTTTCAACCTTGACATCCCCATAGGCTGCGTCCACGTTCCATGTGTCTTTGGGCCACTCGAAATCAATTTCGATGGTTCGCTGGCTGGGCCGATTGTGATTTCCACGTTAGTGGCGTTTCGAGGCTCTGCGAACAATACACAAAAACTGACTTCCCGCGAAGGGTGACGGTGGTACTGGTAAATGTTGCAAGGGTAGCTGACAAATTTGACAATTCTATCGGATGTTGGAAAAGCCTCTTCACCAAACTCAAATGTTATGTCCTCGTGACACGGAATTTCAGTCGCTTCATACCTAGGTGTTGTCGATTGCACTGCATACATTAGTGATTTAAAGGATAGTGTAATACACAATGTCTTACATGTTGCCCCATGTCGTAACATGGCCTTTCGGAAGTGGGCGCGAAATGCGTCGAAGCTGTACTGCTGAAATAATACGTGCTCGTCGTAGACGTCACGAGCCTTTGTTGACGCACTCACACAACTCGATTTCACCAGGTCGTCGAGTAGCTTCTGTGCCTCACATGGAGGTGACGTGCTCCATGCTACTCGTGTGGCCGCGCTACTGCGAGTCCTGCATGATGATTGTCGGTGCATTGTACGAACATTTCGAAAATGAACGAGGATTGCGCGCGCAATTTGAAATCTATCCGGATAATGCTAGTTCCTACTAGCGTACAGTACTAGATGTTCAACATGTTCATTCGTAACGTTCTGTTGAATTCGAATTTCTTTCAATTCGGACATCTCGAATACTTTGACGCACGATATCTCGACTTTCTACGAAAGGATTATGAATCTGATGATGGATATGTAATGCTTACAAGTGTATCAACAACCGTCACTACAAGTACTTTGTACGGAATGCGCAGGATCTGCGCTGAATTTCACGTCAAACACAGACATTCGTCGTGAAGGAGGACGAATTCGGCTTTTTAAGCACTGGGTTTCACTCTTTTCTGCGAGCTAATCTTGTATAATCTCAATGGATATTTGAATCTATGCAATAATAAGTAGACAAATACGAGAGGATTTGCTTTGGTATCGCATATTCATCACGGAATCCTCGGACGAACACTCTTCTTCGCCTTGTTCACATGTTCGTCGTTTTGTGTGTGGGCATCTGAATTCATTTAGTAGATACTACTACTACTATATGTACTACTATATCCAAGATCATTTGCAAGTGGTGCTTAGTAGACACAAAACTGATAATAGTAAGCCCAGCTTCAACTTCAATCCGGATAACTGCGTTTCAAGAAAGCGCGCAAATTCGAAATCGATGGCAGGTCGGTTGACTCCGACCTTCTGGCACCATGGGTGCCGCATGATGAACCGTCATGGTGCACCACTAGAGTCCAATTGCCGACGATACAAGGCTATGTTTGGGGTGACCCCCCTTTGTGCTAGCCTTGTATGGACTATGGTTGAGGACCGACGCCCAGTGTCCTCGTGTCCAATCCACCTGCTCTGGGCTCTGTTCTTTCTTAAAGTATATGGTACTGAAGACGTTCATCACTGCATTACTCAAGCCGACGAAAAGACCTTTCGACGCTGGGTTTGGATTTGGGTTACATTAATTGCTAGTCTCAACGTGGTTGTATATCAACCTGACATACCACATTTTTTGCTTTGGTAAAATGGCCCTTTCTCGTGTCTGAGGCATCGGATGAAAATTCTGAAGCGTTCCCCGTGTAGAGAAATCACTCCACAACCCAATCGAAACAGAGGCATGATGTATTAAGGTCATTTAGAGGTACACAAATGCAATTTTGTAAGCACGCTTGCATTTGGTCTAAGTGCCAATTTAAGTCGTATAATTTAACCTTGCATTTTGTATTACGTTTTGCATCGAAATTATGCGATTAGGGTATTCAATTTCGGCAGGGAAATTATTTATTCTAACAGGTTATACGTTTCCTGAGTCCTTCGAAATCTTTGGAGACCATTTTCAATTTGGCACTGCGCACTTTGGTACAACGAATACCACCCACAGCCAAGAGTGTAAGAGGAGAATGATGATTTCATTATCAAGAACTAAACCACTACTTCCTCTAGGCAAACGAATTCAGCCATCTCTGCGTCTTCGTTGTTGTCGCCGTCTTCGTTGCCGTCGCCGACATTGTTTTCGTCACCGTCCACATCATCAAGGCCTTGCTCGTCAGCGCCGATCGAGGAAATTTCATTTTTCTTTTTCTTTTTGGCTCGCATTGCACGCATCTCCATTGTCTTCTTAGCCGCTGCATCCCGTTCTTCCTTCGTTTGATCGATTTCGTGCATGAGTTCTAGGGTAAGCTCAACGCGGCGCTCCAGCCACTCCGCGTGAACATGCGTTTCAGGTACGCCGCCTTCTTTGAACTTTTCAAAGCGTGTCATCATTTGTTCCAATGACACAGGGAACAGCCCAGACGTTCGAAATCCGCTGACCAGATTTGTTTTCAAGACATGGTTAGTCCACGCGTTTGAAGCGATTGAAATTGCTGCAGCTTTGGATATCGAGTGCATGTCTCCGAACTCTACATAGTATAACGTCATAAATTAATTTCAAAAATGTGATGATTATGTTGAATTGATTCATATTTATACCGTCGTTAATCATGGCGTCAAAAATGGCTCAACGAATCGCATTTTTTGATGGGCCAAACACTGCAACATCAAATGGTTGAAACAAATGTGTTGCATTTGAAAGCAAGCAAAGCAAAATGATTTCCAAAGTTTCACATAATTCAACAATTGCTGTAGAATAGTGTGAAGACAAACCATCAGGACGAGGAATATTATCATCAACAATAGATGAACAATATTTCAACCAAACTTCAACCAAATCCTCATTCATGAAACCCTTAGGAGTTGTCGAAACTGTAGCTCCTGGTACATTGCAATTCAAACCCAAATCTTTATCAAGAGATTCACCAGGTAGCAAAAAAAGTGGAGGAATAAGTTGACCCAAAGCATTACCACACGCCACAATAGAAAGGTGGAAGCTAGCAGTCATAGTCTTGGCCCAAACAGTGCGCGAACCCTTCAGAGCCACAACGTCCTTTGACTTGTGTTGCGAGGCAAACGATGTCTCATCCATGTTGAATATACGCTCGACGATAAGTCCATGCACGCGAATAGCTTCTTCCATCGAGTCGAAAAGCCTTTTTACGCCAACCTCATCAACGCTATTTCTAGCATTGGAAATCACTTGCGCAACACGCGTGGTCAGCTCGGGGTGGCGATTCATGAATCGACGGTACCAACTTCCGGTAACCGTTTGAAGCGGGTCGAGGCGTCGGAGTAGCTTGTTGGCCTTGAGCAGTATAACGAACCTCGTGGCTGGCATGCCTTCTTGCTGCATGGCTGAGATCCAGGCGACCATGTCTTGCTCGAACGAGTCCGGAAACAGTGGCTTGGGACCACGCCGCTTTGGCGTGAGATCCTTGCCTGCCTTGAGCAGGCGAACCTTTCGCATGATGGTTTCGTAGGAGATGCCAGTATCGCGGGCAACATCGGTTCCACGTCGCCCTTGATGAACTTCGTTAACAGCGAACTCGAGCTCTTCTTGAGTGTACCTACCCCTCGTTCGAGGAGCAGGCATGGTCGGCGCGAAAAGAAAAGTTTGAGTTTGATGTTCTATTATGTTCGACAGGTTTTGCCGCGCAGTGACTTCGCCTGGTGATTGGCTATCCGATATACGACTTAAATTGGCACTTACGCCTTAAATTGGCACTTTACGTTATTAAAACTAATGTCATGCTAGATTGAGTGGGATCGCTGTTTGGAGTTGAGTCGTCCAAGCGAAAGGGCATTTGTGTCTCTCGATGGATCCGATTTCCGCATCCAAGAACAGATACCATTTGATCGCAAATGGTACTCCCACAAGTTCCATGGTCCAGGCCTCCGTTACGAAGTCGGCATCTGCATTCGGACGGGCAACATTGTTTGGGTAAACGGAGGGCTCCCATGTGGGGAGTGGCCAGACTTGCGGTTTGCACGCGATTCCTACATCAACATGGTCCGCCGTGGTGAATTGACGCTTGCAGACAAAGGGTACAATGACCCCAACTACTTTATCTACCCATGCCCCCAACTTCAAAACCCGAGGCGCCACAAAGATATCATGGCTCGCCACGAGACCGTCAATAAACGCATGAAGCAGTTCGGCGTCTTGTCAGGCGTATTTCGGCACAGTATTGATCTCCATCCTAAATGTTTTCATGCTGTCGCCAACTTACAGTCCGCGAGACCATCGAGGGCATCAGCTCGAGCTTCCACAATTGACAATTACTTTATGGAGGACTGTAAAAAATATAAATTTGCAGAACTTGGGATACATCAAACAAATTATGTTTTACAAGGAATTAATCATGGCAGGCTAATATGGGTGATCGTCAACGTCGTCGAGTCGACGCCATCGCTTGACCCAGCGGAACTTTCATCACATGATGAAGACGTATCACTATCCCCATCGCTATGACCTGATCCAATAGAGACCATGGCAGCCGCCTCTTCCGCCTGGCGGAGTGCTTTTTCAAGCGCAATGAGCTTGGCTGTCGAGTTGTCGATCGTGACCTTGATGGTCTCGGAGTCCAGGTGATAGAATGCATTGTCGAGGCGCTTGTAGACATCTTGAAACGTTGTGTCTGACGTATAGGCTCGACCAACGGTGCCCTTGACGTTCGCCCAGATCAGCTCGATGGGGTGCAGCTCGGAGAAGTCTGTGCGGCATACACGATATGATGACCACGCGCCTAGGCCATCTGCACCACGACCGGGTAGATATGCTCGTCAATGTACTTTTTTAGTCGTGCCCACATCGCTGCCTCTAGGTCGGTTGGTGAGATATCTCTTATGTCATACTTCAGGCACGCCTGGTAGAGGTCGGCCTTCTTCCAGCTTCCTTTGGGTGTCGTTGAGGTCTTCCCCTTGTGGTACTTCGCGTTGTCCATGAAAAAGACAGCAGAGGACCACCCAAGCTCCTCGACCTCGTCCAGTAGTTTGCCAAACCAGTTGACGAAATACTCGTGATTGAACATAGAATGGTAGTCTTTCACGGTTCTTCCGTTCTTTTTCCCGCCGACAAAAATGTCGAGGCCCAACAGGTGCAAGGCGACCGTGCCTCATCCAGTATCCCAGCGATGAAACAATAACGTCGACCCTTGTGCTTTGGCTTCGTCTTTGCGGTGTCCATGGGGTCGTAGAGACTGTCGGCATGTCGGGTGTAGTGGTGGTGGATAAAACCCTCGTCCAGGTACGCCACCGATCGCCGGGGAGCTGTCGTTACTGTCGGCACCATGAAGTTCGCGTTCGAATCGCGGGCTTGCTCGTGCGCTGGGGTTATCCGATACGTTGTGTTGCGAGATGGCTTGCCACGTGCGTTGCCTTGCTTGTCCAAGAAGCGCTGAACGGCGCGCAGACATGCGGCGTGGTCTTTGGCTCCATCGGCAACGGTGACCACGTGGGCATCTTGCACCAAGGCGAGAACGTCCTTCGCCACAGTGCGCGTGCGGGTGACAGGTCGATCGCGGACAAAAGTCTGCACAAGGTCCCGAACTACACGTGTGTTTGGCACGCGTGACTGATGAGTTGTCGTGTTGGAGGGTAGCTTCGCGACTGTGACATCTCCTGTTTGCATGTACTCTCAGCCAGAACCGCTTTAACAGTACGTGTACGTCGACCAAGCAGCCGGGCTATGGTGCCAGCTACATCTACAGTGTTGTCTTCCCGCAGAGTAGCTTGAAGCCACAGAATGTCAAGCTTCTCGTCGTACGTGAGACTGCGCTGACGGCGCTGCTTAACGAAGTCCTTCATACGCTGTAGTGTGGCCGCGACCATGGTGTCGATTTGGTTTTTTCGCGATTACACTCAAATCCGATCGTCCTGTTTCGAGTGGGAATCGCTGGAGCTAAGCATTACGGTGATTTTGGCGGTAATTTCATCGAAATCGGACATGAATTGCAAAAGTTAGAGCAAATTTAGATATTTTGTGAGCTTTTTGTACGGATGTCGTCGAGTTTCGGTATTTTATCCGTATCACGATGATACAGGCATGGAGGTTTGACTAGCTCGTCCAAATCAAAAATAATATTTCTGCTGTGCACTATGTAAAGATCAAATTTCACAGTATATTAGTTTTCGTTGGAATCTTTAACAATGTAACGAATTTGTTTTGCATGTTGTTGTGCAATGTATCCTGTTTTAGAGGATACGGGTGGCATTATTGGGGACATTTCGACGACTATAACGCAAATAGTTGTTTTTTGCGCAAGTAAAATCCGCATAATCATCAGGATTGCGCAAGTATATCTTGCGCAAAAGCAATATATCCTCTGACACATCGCCTTTGAGAACTTACAGAATGTATAGAAAAGGTGAAACGGATAGATATATGGTTCTTGCGCAAGTACACTATCCGGATTGTTGTTTCGAGAGCTCACACCGCTTCAGAGCGGCACCAAACGTCGATGGATCCAAGAATTGGAGCGAGTTGCGCTGATGGACAACAAGCTGGTGATGATATAATTGCTTTGCGTATCGTTCCGTCTACCCGCCAGCAGTACAGGTCAATTCTAGCGCGGTTTTCCCGTCGGCTCGAACATTATTCCCCCGAATCACTTATCGATGGCAAGGTGGCCCTCCCTGTGACAAAGGCTGTGTGCCAAAGGTTCCTTGCATACATATCCATCAAACGCGACTCCAAAGGACGCGAAATAACTCCTCGCAAGCACAATTCGTACTCCACCATCAATGGATTTTCCAACGCAATCAAGCATCTCTACAAAGAAGAAGGGCGCGTCCTCAGCGACGAGCTACTGTCCATGCTACAGGGTATGTGACGTAATCGTTGTCCTTTTGTGCTGCTACGCTAACTACAAGTAGATTTTGCCAATGGATACAAGCGCCAGATTGCTTCACTCAAGCAAAACGGAGACCACCCGATCTCCGAAGGTAAAGCTCCGCTAACGCTCGATGGTAAGTTGTACTTGGATTGACGGTCACTGATTACCATAAACAAATTGTCATGTGACATAGCGTTCAAGTTTCTGGCACAATGTGCTATGGAAATGGGACACGATC